CCTTTTAATGTTGTTGGTAGTTGTCATCCAGTTGGTTCTGACTCATAGTGATTTTTTATGCACAACAGAATGAAACACTGCCTGTTCCTGTGCCATCCTCACAATTGCTGTTATGTTAGAGTCTACTGTTGCTGCCACTGTGTCAGTCCATCTCATTGGGGCTCTGCTTCTTTTTTATTCATTCTCCATTTTTCCAAGCATGATGTCCTTCTCCAGGGACTGATCCCTCCTGCCAACATGTCCAAAGTACGAGAGACAAAGTCTCACCATCTCTGCTTCTAAGAAGTATTCTGGATGGTACTTCTTCCAAAACAGATTAGTTTGTTCTAACAGTCCATAGCACATTCAATATTTTTCTTCTACACATAATTCGAATGCATCGATTCTTCTATAGGCTTTCTTATTTATTGTCCAACTTTCAAATGCATATGAGGCAAATCAAAATACTATGGCTTGGGTCAGGTGCAGTTTAGTCCTTAAACTAAGGTTGTTCTTTAACACTTTGAAGAGGTCTTTTGCAGCAGATTTGCCAAATGTATTGTTGTTGTTGTTGTTAAGTGCCGTCGAGTCGGTTCCGACCCATAGCGACCCTGTACAGGGTTTCCAAGGGTGTAAATCTTTACGGGACTAGAAAGCCTCATCTTTCTCCCGCAGAGTGGCTGGTAGTTTTGAACTGCTGACCTTAAGATTCGCAGCCTGATTCGTAACCACTATGCTACAAGAGCTCCTTGGGTCAGGTGCAGTTTAGTCCTTAAACTAAGGTTGTTCTTTAACACTTTGAAGAGGTCTTTGGCAGGAGATTTGCCAAATGTAATACATACTTTAAATTCTTGGCTGCTACTTCCATGAGCACTGATTGTGGATTCGAATAAAATGAAGACTTTGATTATCTCAATCTTTATCATGATATTATTTTCTGGTCCAGTTATGAGGATTTTTGTTTTCTTTATAATGAGGTGCAGTTCATACTGAAGGTCTTTGGTCTTCATCAGTAACTATTTCAAGTCCTCTGCTTCTGGCAAGCAAGGTTGTGTCATCTGAATATCACAGATTGCTAATGAATCTTCCTCCAATTCTGATGTCACATTATTCTTCATATTTAATTACCATGGTGGTGGCTGTGTGCCGTGGAGTCAGTTCTGACTCATAGCCACCCTGTACAGGGTTTCTGAGGCTGTAAATCTTTATGGGAGCAGACTGCCTCATCTTTCTTCTGCGGAACAGCTGGTAGTTTTGAACTGCTGACCTTGCGGTTCGTAGCCCGATTCGTAACCACTATGCTACCAGAGCTCCTTAACATACAGATGATGAAAAGACACAACCCAGACACATAACTTTCCTGATTTTAAACCATTCAGTATTCCCTTGTTCTGTTCTAACAACTGCTTCTTTGTGTATGTACAGGTTCCTCATGAGCACAATTAATTGTTCTGGAAAACACAATCTTTGCAATGTTTTCCATAGCTTATTATGATCTACACAGCTGAATGTCTTTGTATAATTAATAAAGCACAAGTAAACATCTTTCTGGTATTCTCTGCCTTCAGCTAAGACCCATCTGATATCAGCAGTGATATCCTTTGTTCTGCATTCTCTTCTGAATCTAGCTTGAATTTCTGGCAGCTTGCTTTCAATGTACTTCTACAAGCATTTTAAATTATTATTAGCAAAATTTTACTTGTTTATGGTACTAGTGATATTGTTTGATGATTTCTGCATTCTATTAGCTCACCGTTCTTTGAAATAGGCACAAATATAAATCTCTTACAATCTGTTGGTTAGCTTGTTGTTGTTGTTGTTAAATGCCATCGAGTCAGTTTCGACTCATAGTGACCCTGTATGGGGTTTTCAAAAAGTGGCCAATGGGTTTGAACTCCTGGCCTTTTGGTTAACAGTCCAGGTGCTTACCCTACAATGTCACACCAGGACTCTTAGCTGTCTCCAAGTTTCTTGGTATAGATGAGTGAGTGCCTTCAGCACTGCATCAATTTCTTGTAATATTTCAATTTGTATTTTGTCAATTCCTAATTTCTAATTTTTTTCAATGATTTAACCAACACTGCATCAAATACAACATGTTTCTTTTCTGAATATAGTCTGCAGGCTATCATTTTGAGAACTGTGTTTTGGGGTCCTCATTAAATGGAACCAGACCAACAATTCTGCTTCATATAAAACCATATGTTCTCTCTCTGTAAACTGATGAGTTGAGTAAGTGAGGCACGAAGGCTTCTGAGCCCAGTGGTCATTGTTGTTGTTGTTGTTAAGTGCTGAAGTGTAGGTTCCGACTCACAGTGGCTCTGTATAGCGTTTCCGAGAGTAGCTAGTGAGTTTGAACCACCAATCTTGCAGTTTAAACCAAACTTGTGTTCCAGTGCTTCTCCTACAGCGTTACATCAGCACTCCAATAGTGTAAGCTATTAAAAACCTTGTAGAATACAGTAAGCTGAGACTGATATGGCTGCTGAGCAGTAGCAGCAGCACCACCAGAAATAGCTTCAATTTGTTCCCTTTTTGTTTTAAGGGAAGAGGGATGACCTCTTTGAACAATATTAGCAACCAAGTTAATAGAGTCAACTATACTGTTACTGTGGTAAAGTGCCCTGGGGTCAGTTCAGACTGATAATTACCCTATATAGGGTTGCCAAGGAACTGCTGGTGAATTTGAACCACTGACCTATGGTTCAAACCAACCTTGAGGTTGAGTGCTTACCCTAAGGTGCAACACTAGGCACAAATAAAACACAATGTTATAGCTGCTGAAGTTCAAAATCCTCATTTTATAATTGAAGAAACCAAGTTCCCCCTACCCCCAAAGTACAATGATTTGCAAATTAGTGGCAATGTCATGTCTCTTGACTTCTAGTCTAGCATTCTCTCCAACAATCCTGAACTCTTAAAATTAAGCCTGGACAAGCAGGACTTGAGAGCAGCTGTTTAATGCCTCCCCAACCCCCACTCCCTTTACCTGTATAGTAATGATATTCTTTGAAAACATTATATTTCATGTGTCAGGTTTAATGAGAGGACACAAAGATGTTATTGAAACATTGAAACCATTCACAAAATATGTGGAAGAAAAATGATGTTGTTGTTAAGTGCTGTCGAGTCAGTTCTGACTCACAGTGACCCTTATAGGGTTTCTGAGAAGTGGGTTTGAACAGCTGAACTTGAGATTCAACCCAACATTGGAGCCCAGTGCTTTATCCTAGCACACCAGGATAAAGTGCCACACCAGGACTCTAGGTCTAATATGACTTCTGTGCTCTCAGAACTGACCTACCAGATGCTTTTGATTTTATTTCATTGTTTTACTTTTGTTGTCTTTTCTATTTTACCTCTACTTTTTTCTCTCTCCCACCAATCTAGGTCATAGGCTTTCCCATAAGCATTCATGGGCATCACTGAGACTCCTTGGTGGCACTGAAGATTCCTTTGTCACATCAATGAAACTGCTAATTACTCATTTCTCATTAGTTATAACATGGGAACGCGAGTACATAGTCACTAAGAAACCTGCATTTTCCCCTGCTACAGTCATTCAACTCTCTAGAATCTCAGATTAAGTCTTGTTAATTGTAATTTTTGATTAATCCAGCCTGGTGTGGTACTGTGGGTTAATGTGCTGGACTGCAAAGTCGCTTTGAACTGCAAAGTTGGTGGTTCAAGCTCACAGTTGCTCCACGAAAACCCTGTGCAGGGTCACTATGGGTTGGAAACATCTCAACGACATTTAACAACAGCAAGAATCTATTGCTCTGGCATTTGACACTTTTTTTGTTGTTATTGTTGATGTTTTGAATCGTTTTCAGATTGGTATAGCTGTTAGAGATGCTGCAGTTGCAGCACTGTGCATCTGGAACATTTGGCTGACTTGTTGAACTTCCCCTAGAACAACTACAATGGAAGGAGAAGTGTGGAGAGGCCAGAACAGTTGCCTGTAAATAGAAATGGCAATAGTGTCTGGTTACTATGTGGACCACCCTTGCAAAAATCAACCTAATTCTGGCTCTCACTTTCCCCATTTGCTCACTGAAGTCACATGTTCTCCACTGAAAACTCCTGCTACAATTGAAGAAAAGAAGCTACTCTGGTTGTGAGTTCTCTTATGTAATTCTTTCTGGTGTGGCGCTGTAGGGTCAGCACTGGTCTTCGAACCACAAGATTTGGCAGTTCAATCCCACCAGTTGCTTCTTGGAAACTATATAGAGTCGCTATAAGTCAGAGCTGACTCAACAACACTTAAGTGATTGATCCTTTAACAACCTGTAGTTAAAGGATCAACACATACTTAGTGTATTAATGGATATGTAAGAAATCCTAGGGGACTGGTTTAACCTTGGGGGAACAGTATCACTTCAGTCCCGCTTGGCATAGGTCAGTTTCTTTCTTAGATAGACTGAGAGTCCAGACTCAGTCCAGGAGGGAAGCTTCCTGAGTCACACTCCATTCCTACTCCCTTAGGCTCCCATGGTCCTGAGTTTCCTTTTCTTCTGGCATGCCATTGGATTGCAAATACAGCAGGCATAGTTTTATTCCAAATCCAGAACTGTTTTAATTAGTTTAACGTTTGCTAAACGCTTTGAAGTTTGAAAGTAACATGTTATGCATGAATGATGTTATCAACAACTGAATTTAATTGCAACTATTTCTATTAATACTAGCTTCTGCCTCCATTCCTTTCCCCTCCAAGGTTCCCAAATTCTTCTCAGCCTCCCCTTCCTTCCTTTTCCCTTGTACTGGCGCTAAAGGGTTAAATAGGGGCGGAGTCCAGGGATGAATGACAGTGGCAATCACCTACTGGTACTGGGAAAAGGAGAGGGCTGGGTGGGGCTGCCAGGCAGAGGCGAACCTACACGCCTCCAGGCCCCACCCCGCGGTTTGAGGCGCGGGTCGAACGGCAGGGGGCGGGGCACCAAGACTTGGCGGGCCGGGTAGCTGGGCGTCCCGGCAGCCGCTTGAGGGATGGGGCGGGATCGGGCCGGGGCCTCCTCCTTCACTCCTTCGGCGGGCTGAGCCGCCCCTCTCTCCCGCCCCTCCTCCTCTCTTTCCCACCCCTAGAAGTGAAGCAGCACATGCGGCTGCTCCTTGCACTGTCCCGCCCAGCCACCGTCGCACAGGAACGGGTCCCTACAGCCCCCAGCCGATGGCAGGACAGTAGCCGCCTGTCAGGGGTCGTGAACGGCTGAAGCAGACGCGACGGCTTCCCGGCCTCAGAGTGTGTGTGTGTCTCCGAAGGCCATGGGCTACCCAGAGGTAGAGCGCAGGGAACCGCCGAGCGAGCAGGGAAGCCAGGGCTGCGGCTGTCGCGGGGCCCCTGCCCGGGCAAGCGAAGGGAACAGCTGCGGGCTCTTCCTGGGTTTCTTTGGTTTCTCTCTGGCGCTCCACCTGCTGACGTTGTGCTGCTACCTAGAGTTGCGCTCCGAGTTGCGGCGGGAAAGGGGAGCCGAGTCCCGCCTTGGCGGCCCCAGCGTCCCTGGCACCTCTGGCACTCTGAGCAGCCCCAGTGGCCTCGACCCTGACGGTTCCATCATCCGCCACCTCGGGAAGTCGTCTCAGCAGCAGCCTCTGGAACCCGGAGAAACCACACTCCCCCTCAACTCCCAGGACGGGCACCAGGTGAGTCACCTAGTAGGGGTGGCGGTAGCAGTGGCAGCGACGGCGGCGGCAGCGGCCCCCTCCCATGTGGATAGGGCGGGGGCCCTCCACCACAGGGCCCTGGGAAGACTCTGCCACCTCAAGCCAAGTTAGAGGGAGAACCTGGGAGGGGGCAGGCCAAAGAGGGGAGGGCTTGCCCCAGGGCAGGTTGTTCTAGGTCCCTGGCCCAACTCGCCCAGACTCTCTGTGGACCCCTTGAATTGTCAACTCTGGCTGGTGCCTGTCTCCACCGCCCCTGGCTACGGTTTGCCTCAGGGAAAGTTGCCAACTCGGCCTTACCCGGCCCGGTCCGGCCCAGCCCGGCCCGTGAAGAGGTAGTGCCCGCGCTGCATGTCTGGTGGATTAACGGCAAGCAATTTGGCTCTCTGGTACTTCAGAGAGGTTCTCTGCCCGCGGTGCTTGTTTTTTCGTGTCCAGGGCTGATGCCAGCACTAGCAGACTCTTCTTTGGAGCTGGAGCTATAAACAGCTGTAATCAACGCCCCACGCCCGTTGAAACAACAGTTAGCCATAGTTTTAACTGGGGGAAGGGGGGCGGAATCCGTGGTTATGCGCTGACCAGACGTGGGCTTGTTCACACTTACCTGCAATTTGAGACCAATTGTCCTCAGTGTTCTAGCGACGATCAGCGCCCCTGAGGAATTCTGGTAGAAATATGCCGTCTTGCTAGACTACTTCTGAGCAGCAATTTAAAAAAAATCTATGGAAATAAAACTCACCCTTTGCATGCCGGTTCTAGTTACTTTTTTGGGGGTGTTGTGTGTTGGAATGGGGAGGTGGGTGTGAAGTTTCTTCACTACTGATAGCTTGAGAATAGGAATTGGCTAATGGAATAATTCTGGAGTAGAATCCTTATGGAGGTCCTGGGGTGGCACTGTAGGATAAGCACTGAACTCTTAACCACAAGGTCAGCGGTTCAAACCTCCAGCTGCTCCTGGAAAACACCTATACAGGGTTGCTATGAGTTGGAACGACTCCACAATACTTAACAAACAACAACAAAGTCATTATGAGTTGGAAGCAAATCCAGTCTCTGGAGCAGTTTTAGTTTTTTACTCTTTATGGTGTTTCTGCCCTTGTTAGTGAGCAGATTTTGTTTTTGGATCTTTATGGTGTTTTTGCCCTTCTTTGCAAAACCCCTAGCTTTGGTGTTTTTAAATTTTTTCTACTTTTTCTAGCTCTTTATTTAAGTAAATTGAGTGCATTTAAAGTAAGTATTGTCTCTACTGTTATGTTTTGTCTTATATGTGAAACTTAGGGAAAACATCCCAGGATCCTTTTGAGGTGGTTAAATAATAGCAAATTTGTACCTCTTGGGGAAGAAGACAAGTTGTTCAAATAAGTCCTTGAGGTTGGGGACCCAGCTCTTCTATATTTACTGCCACATCCAAAGTAATTGTCACAACTCTGTAAATATTATCTGTCCTAATTTGACCACCTATACAAAGATGTACACATTATAGAAGCATCATATTCATAATACTATAATGTTAAGACTGACACATTTTTTACATTGTACATTATAAAGTTGCCTGGAGCCTTAAAATATCTTGTTCACACACTCCAACTTATATAACAGCTTATCAAAAAAGAATCAACAGACATGCTTTTCATACTTGAAACTTTAAATACTATGGCTAAATGATAATTAACTAGGATTCTGGTTGCTCTATCTTTTCTTCCCCCCCCCCCCTCGCCCCCAGATGCCCAACAGAAATATTTAGCATCTGAACATAGGCGTTCTGTGGAAAGATAAAGGATTTACCTTCCTTAGTCAAATCGTGGCTAAGCCTTTTTGGCATTCACAATGGAGACACCCTCTTTAAAGACTAAGGATTAACAGGACAGCTGTACTCTAGGGCTTCTGTGATGGCATAGGACTATCACTGGTCTGTAATGGAGTTTGTTGCCTGCTTTTTGCATAACACTTCAATTGTTCTGCCAGGTTTAAACACAGATTCCTGTCTAATGTTCTTTAGTCTTTCTGTTTGAATGTATTTGAGTAGTAGAAACGAGCATACTGGCGCTTTACATTTGTTGACATCAATTGAGTCAATGTTTTTTAGTTATGCAGTCATAATGAATCCATTTTATTTGTTCCTCTTTAAGGATGGGGTAGACCATGAGGTGGAAGGAGTGACTTGCTCAAGGTCACCAAACAAGGGTAAAAACTATTATGAAAGTTGGTCAGTGTCCACTCCCCTATAGGATACTATGTCCTAGAGATTCTTTTTGAGTGGCAAGTGGAGCTACATTGTAGACTTGTTACAAAGCAGAAGGTTCATCATTTTCTACTCTACCTCTATTTTGACCAGACTAAGTTTAAACATGTATGTATTTTTCCTTCAATTTCAGGAAAATTGGAGCATACTTTGAAAGAATTTTAGCCCAGATTCAGCTTAAGTTTATTTTGAGGATGTTAGCTTGAGCATAAAAAAATAAAAACAAAAGGAAAAGTTTATTGGCTATTAGAGTAAAGTTGATACAGTTATCTTGGGTACAATTTCTAGTGCCCTGGTGCACCCTCTGCTGGCTTTACAAGGACATTTAATTGCATTATCTGCTGATAGTCAAAATTCTGCAGTTGTGCTGACAGAAATTTTGATTCATAAAGAAGGAAGTAAACAGTCTTGTGGGATTTTGGCCACGTAGATCATATTTTTATATTTTAGTTTTTCAACACAAATAGCTGCTGTTACAGCAACTCTTGGATAGAGAGGAAGAAAGATAAAAATATGCACCATTCAATGGGCAATACATTCAGGTTTCTCAACACTTTATCTGCAAGGAGTGAGGCAAGTTGAGGAGAATAAACTGCAGGAAGATATCATGAGACTAACTGGGTAGAACAGTCAGAAGCCCTTCATCATGAACATGGTAAGGCCATGCAGGTAGGCAAAAGTAAACATATCCATACTTAAGAGAAGATCTACGAAAGAAAGTCTATTCATAGTTATGAGATGATGGGTTCTGGGCTGTCAGTTATGACTCTAGAAAGGGTCATAGAAATCATTACATGAGGGGGCTTCAAAAAGTCTGTGGAAAAATTTTATCTTTTAATTAAATTTTCTATGAATTTGTTGTAGCCCCCTTGTTGTATGTTGTTAAGTGCTGTGAAGTTGGGGTTTCGGAGAAATGGCAGGTGGTTTTGAACTCATGGGATTTCAGAGAAATGGCAGGTGGTTATGAACCGCTTACCTTGCTATTCAAACCGACCTTGGAATCCAGTGGTTATCCTACAATGCCACACCTGGATTCCGTTATACTTCAATTAGAAAAAGACTTGAAAGAACACAGAAGGGCAATTAGAATATGTAGCAGAGAGATTACCAATGTTTTCCATGGGAAATATTTAAAAAGCCTCCCAATTCTGGTAACAAAATGAGGGTTACATCAGGTCTTCTAGGATATGACTGTCTCCTTTAGCTAGAGCAGCCAAATACTGGTAGACTTGTCTGGATACTTACTAGAGAGGCTTTCAGTGGCTAGGTACATTCCAGTGGTCTTCAAGTAAGCCTATACACAATATGATTGTTGTTGTTAAGTGTCATCAAGTCAGCTCTGACTCATAGTGACCCTGTATATGGTGTCCGAGGAGCAGCTTGCTGGTGAGTTTGAACCACAGACCTTGTGGTTAGCAGTTCAGTGCTTATCCTACAGTGCTACACCAGGACACCATATGATTGCTAAAACAAATAATAAAAATTAAACACACTTTTTTAAATGTTTTATTGTGAATTATGTGATAGTTTACATGGGAGAACATTAGTTTTACATTCATCCTATCATATATCATTCCATTGCTATGGTTACAAACCCATCCATGCATCATCAACTAACCAAAGGGTATATACACTACAAGCCTGCCCCCAGGTCATCAGCACACAGCCCCTCTCCCTCTCTGTGTCTAAAGTCCCCAACTGCTCCATCTCTCCATGTCATTGTCTCTGCCTCCATCTCAGGCATCACTGCTTCTCTGGGTAGGGTCCC